CAAATTACTCGCCAAATATTTACAAAATCATAAACTCGTCTATTTCGACCAAATTTGTCAAAATAGACGATTTTGCTCAGAAAAAAAATTGTCTATTCGTTTTTTTTGGGGGAAATAAGCTCCTCCCATTCGAAGATTTGTAAAAAACGAACAATTTTTTTGTTTTAAACAAGAGTTACACATTTTTCATTTTGTGATTTGTTTGTTTGTGTGTTTTGTGTTTCATCATCATTGTTGAATATTGTTGTTTTTTGCTGCGAACAAAATTGAATTTTCAAGAAGCAAAAAAAAAACGATGAAAAAATCGCCAACCGATACTTGCTTGGATATCGAATTATTTCATGATGATTTAAAAGATATTGATCAGGAATTTATTCCAAACATTGTTTCAATTTTTAAAATATCTGCATATTTTAATAAAATGGGTTTTCTATTTATTGCCAATAATAATGCTACTTATGCTTATGGTCGTGATATATGCAAATGTTTATCGTTAGAACATGATCCCAAACGACCACAACAGATTGATATATTGAATGGCAAGAAAATTATTCAAGTTGATTCGGGCAAAAGTTTTGTTGTCGTTCTAACTGATGATGGACAAGTGTATTTAGCCAGTGAATATTTTAAATGGAAAACGAACGATACTTTTCGATTGATCTCTAATGGTAATGATCGTTTTGAAATGATAGCATGTGGACAATCACATTTGTTATTGTTACGACAGGATGGCACTGTTTTTGCTTTGGGTGATAATACATATGGTCAATTTACCGGTAATTCAGATTCAGCGTATGTTGCTGTCCTGAACACTGGTTTGAATAATGTCAAAATAATAGCTTGTGGAGAAGGCCATAGTCTTGCTCTCACCAATACGAATGAAATTTATTCCTGGGGCTGTAATAAGTATGGACAGTTAGGTCTAGGGGATACAAATGACCGAAAAACACCCTCACTAGTTTCATTTTCTGATAGTTCTATCGATAGTCCAATCAAAAATATTGTCGGCGGTTGGAAGCATTCTTTATTTTTATTCGAGAATGGTCAGATGTTTGGATGTGGTTATGGTCAATGCCCTTTCAATGATAATCAACAAGATGCAAAAGTGCCAACAAAAATTCCGATTGAAAATGTGAAAAATGTGGCTTGTAAAAATAATTATACTATTTCATTTGCTTTGGATCAATCATCACATTATTACGCATTGAATAGGAAGAAAGATAACAATTGGTTACCACCCATAAAATTGTATGGTCAACTGGAATCATTCGCTGCAGCAGCTGCAAAAATATTCTCATCACCAATCACTTTTGGCTTAACATCAACCATCTATACATACAAATCGAATGATCCAATATCAATTATTGAATTATTCGATAATCCGGATAATTATGATATCGAATTTATTATAGATGACAAACGTATATTTGCTTCAAAGTGTCACCTGAAAATGGTATCAAAATATTATAGTCGAATGTTTTCAGGTGAATGGCAAGAAAATAATAATAGAGTGGTGATTGATGCATATAGCTATAATGTATATTACTCATATCTAATGATGTTACATACTGGTCATATCCGAATCAATCAATCCAATATAGCTGAACTTATGGATTTGGCCAATTGTTATGGTGATGAACGATTAATGAAACATTGTCAAACATTCATACGAAGCAATCTCAATGAGAATACAAAATATTATTAAAATCTATAATCATTGATGAATGTTATCAAAAATTTTACAAAAAAAAAAATAAATAAAACTATTGCATGTTTTTTTTGTAATAAAATAGAAATACCAATTAAAAATATGTCCAACAAACAAAAAGAATGCTTGTAATACTTTTAGATTGATCGAAATGAATGTCATTTCAAATGATTTTTTTGTAATCTGGTATATTATACCATAAATATAAATGGATGTTTGTTTTTTTTGATTCGGGCATCTTTTTCATTGCAAAAACTGATCAAAATTTATAATTTTCAATCAAAAATAGTGTGCATTGCATATATTTACTGATTTTGGACGGTGATTTTGTGATTGTTTGTTTTTCAATTGTTCTTTCTTTTTTTAGCGGATGAAACTAATTTTTTTTAATGAGG